CAGACCGGCCGGTCATGGAAACCTTCCTAGGAAAGCGTGGAAAAAACCCACCGCCATTTTTTTTTTTTTTTTTTTTTTTTTTTTTTTTGCCATGACCGACCGCCCGGTCCAGACCGGCCGGTCATGAGAATCTTCCTAGGCGAAAAGCGCTTTAGGGGATGCGCCAACCCTCCTCCGCTAGCAAATATAGCTAGTGTCTGATGGCATTGTCCATCATGCTCCCACTCCCCTTCTCTCCCTCCATCTCTCTCCTTCCCTCTGCTTCGCCCTTGATGTGTACCTTCTGTATATGCAGGAACCGGAGAATACAGCAATAAGGCGGCAAGGTGACCTCTCCTGACCAATGGCTAAGAAAGTGCAGTCTATTCCAAGGTACGTGGAGGTTCCCATAATGGGTTGCTATGGCTGCGATACGCACTTTATACACACACACACACACACACACACACACACACACACACACACACACACACACACACTGCACACACACACACACACACACAGAGGGGGAAATATCAACTCTTTCTATCACCAAGCGGTAGAATATCACTCAGTCTGGCTTGTCCATCAGGAACACTATGTCATTGTGCACTTGCAAGCTCTACAGCCTCCGGAGAGCAATCCAGCTGACCTTCCCCCTTCCCTTATGCATTGGCAGGTAGTGTCCGCTGCCTGTGTAGTTCAGATGAAGTCTACAAGGGAGAATGAACGAGCCTCAGAGTCTCCAGACGGTGGTTGTGCCATCCCATTCTTTCGTCACACAGCTACAACACAGTTAGCATGCAAACGGCATAGTCTCTTCTCCTAACACACTATGAAGGGATGGTCACTGCCAGTCTCTGCCGTGAAAACAGCGACCTTTTGTCTTGTCCTCATCCCTCCCACCCCCGAATTACTTGCCCAGTATGCCATTGCGGCCTTGACATGCCACCCCCGAATTACTTGCCCAGTATGCCATTGCGGCCTTGACATGCCATGCCTAAAGAGCTGTGAACGTCAGCCTGCTTTCCTGCTGACATGTCAGAGACATGCCATTTCTCGCGAACGTTTCCAGTAATCTGTCATAGAAAATTTGTTGTCTCCACTGCGTGGACTATCCCCGATGCCATCATCCACCACACCCTCTCTTAGCATGTCCCACATGCAATGTTGGGCACACACCTGCTCCCTCATCCTTGCCAGACAAAACCGCACAAGATCCTGCAGCAACGAAACATCCTGGCTTTGAATCAATACCTGTCGCTGTCTGTCCATAGAGAAGGAATAAATACTGGGGAAACCTGCTCAATGTCGCTCTGTGATAACCCACCTGAGGTTCAGCTAGCATGTGGTTCACATGCCGTGTGCCGTGAGGATTCTGAAGGGATAGCCCATGCGAGTTTTTGTTTTCATAAGTATGACGACAATCAATACTGCACTCATGTACGACACCCTGACATGTCGTGTCCAATTAGTAGACAGGGGCTGGAATAGCAATTGCCTCTACTACAATTGAGGCTGACGTGCCTCTGTATTCCTAGCACGTAGGAGCCACGTAGCCTGTGACATCTGTCTATGCCATGCCATTCGATGCAGCAACTGCGACTGCGAGAATTGGATGCTGCGGTGTTTCAACAGTCCATACCCCAAAAACTGGTCCCGTCTGATCTGTAGGGGTGGCCACTTACCATAGACAAGAGGTGCTCCTCAATTCAAAATCTTATGCAACCCAAACACTGACTGGCCTCATGTGCCATGCTAGAGTAGTCTTTTTTTTTCCCCAAAAATTTGGACCATTTCTCGATTTATGTGTGTCATCCTTTCTGTTACATGCTGAAATCCTACACACGGGCCCCTCACGGGACCCGAGGCTGGAATAGGGCCCCCAGGTCGCGTCACCGCAACCTGAAGGCCCTATGGCATTTTTACTTGGGCCTGCATCAGAAAAACACCAGCTTTAGATTTTTTTATAGTGTTTATTTTATTTATTTGCTGCTGTTTTTCTAACGGGTGTACTGTTGTCCGTTTTGTGGCCAGGTACACGCTTCTAGGGCCAGGGCCAGATTCAGGCCCAGAGGCTGAGCTCCTAAAAACGTTTGGACCTTTTCTTTTGTTTTCGAACAGATTTTGACCTGTTCGAACCCAGGCCGACGTTGAGGCCGGGTACGTCCGCACAGGACCGGTTTGAAGCCAGGTACCAGGAAGATTAATCCTGGACAGGGCCTGGACGTCCGGTAGGGACCCACGCAGGCTGTTTTAGGCCAAGGACTGAACCAGTTTTCGAAGCCTGCGATCTGGACCRTGGATCGGAGTTTCGATCTGCACGGTCCAGAACGCAGGCCGTGGGTTTTCAGTCCTGGCCCAGCACTACTTAAGCTGGGCCATTGCCCAGTTCGGACACAGAAGGTACCAGGAGAAATCCAGCGTTATGCTGGTTCAGGAACTTGGCTGCTGCGCTATTTTGGAGACTCCCTGCTGCGCCATTTCGAGATTGCAGCTGCGCTGCTCATCGGCCATGAGGCACAGCGCTGGAGGAGTCCAGCGCCGAGGAGGGTAGTGGAG